GGACTGAATATTGTGATTTTAAAGATGCACAGCATGTTTCCAACCTGAAGTTGACTCAGTTTACTGGGAACGACCTGCAAAAAAAAAAAAAAAAAAAAAAAAAAGGTTTTAACTAGGACATGAGTCTTCCAGTCTTGGGTCGTGAACAGGGTTAAAAGATTACATCTTCAGAATTCGGCGTGCATCTGTGGATAATTTAACGCAGACAAGAACACCAGCAGTGGGAGGTGATGTTTCTGTTTGCCGTTTGTTTCTAACTCGTGTAGGTGTGCGCTTGAGTGGAATTTTATTCTGAAACTACACCAAGCTGATTTATTTCGGGCCAGCAGTTTACACTGGCGGAAAAGATTCAAGCTGGAAGCTTGAGATTAACGACGACCTTAAAGGGTCACGGAAGGAAAACAAAAAGAGAGAAGAGCGACGCACTCCGCAGGGCGGGTGGACACAAGGCCAATTTTTACTCCTTGGCTGTATATTTTATTTCCTTTATCTGCACTATTTAGCTGGCAGATGCAAAAGCAGATAGGTAGAATCTTATTTTCACGTGAAATTGAAACCTAAGCGTTTAGAGGTGAATTCCCCAAGTGTTACCTCATTCCAGGAAACGGACGGTAAAGAAAATACTCAGACTGTGCTTACATCTGAGTTCCTGTTAAACCTCTGAAAATCCCTTTAGCTTTCTATATTTCAACCCCCCTTTTTTCTTTAAGCTGATCTAGATTGTATAAATACAAACAAACAAAAGTAGCAGAATTTGGTTACTTCTTTTATTATCAAGAATCTCTGCATTACAGTAGACAGTGGAAAAAAAAACATGAATAAAGCATCAACACAATGCCCTTTTCTATATATGATCAGTGGATTTGTTGTTGTTGTTGTATGATTAATAACAAAATGAAGTTGCATAAAGTATGTCGTTAAAGCCCGATGAAATGATTAAAATGATGCCAACCATTGCACTTTCCACCTTTTATCATGGCACACCAATATCTGCTGTGCACTCAAATTCAGTCCGTCGAGGATCCATTAAAACAAAAATAAAACGCTGACCTTTATGTTCTTCTCCAGCTTTTCCCTGAAAAGTTACACATGCTGAAATTATGCGGCCAAAAATGAGGAAGGACTTGAAATGAAAACTGCCGTTTACTCACAGTTTAAAGTCAGGAATCTGACCGTGTTATGCACTGCCCCGAGTGAAAACAACCCAGAGCACAGCAAGCATCACTTGTTGGTTTAAATATTCACTTCCACCACTGTCAGAGTAGAAAAAAAATTAACCCGAAAAAACACAGGATAGAGGTTCAATCACAAAAAAAAAAAAAAAAAACGGATAATTCAGTCTGCCGGTATCAGAAGGCAAAAAACAAGGCGGAAATAATTAGGCCGTTTGTGGTACCGTCATCTTTTCTTTTCTCCTGAAATGGGAAAGGACATTTGCTACAAATACATCAAATATACCTGAAATCAAAACAAAGCCACTTTTTAAGGAATGTGAACTGGAAGTGGTGTTATCACAGCTGAAATTAAGACTCATATACTGCATCACACTGACAAATAAATACACTTCTTTTCTCAGGGGGGCAGAGAGAGGACGAGGAAGCTTCGGGTCGGGTCTACGGGTCTTCACAAATCCATAAACGACGCCATCAGCTGCTTACAGTATCAACAAATTAGAACTGCGCTCTAAGATTTAAAAAGAAAAAAAAAAAAACACCTGGCCCACAGTTACCATGCTCATTGGTCCGGGGGATGCGGAGACTCGCTTTGTTCATTTTCAGCCTGATCTAGGAGTGTGTGAGGACTGACTTTTTTTTTTTTTTTTAAACTGCAAAAGTCCTCAGGAGAGACAGACGCCGACGATCCGCCGGGCTACATCAGCTCCACGTAATTGGCCGGGAACATCCCGAAGTGGCCGTCCGGACCGAATCCCCGCCACCAGCCCTCGTCGATCATTTCGATGCCGGTGATGACATCGTCCGGGTCGAACGAGATCTCGGTGCCGTCGGCTGAAAAGAGCAGAGAAGGAGCGGCGCATCAGCATGAGCAGACGTAAAGCTGCGGTTTTTACGGGCCTTATGTGCTGCGTGTAATCAGCAGAGATCAGCGTCTCTGACGGTATGGGGGACATTAGTAAGCACATGGTATGAGTCACCAACACCCACATCACAAAGCTGCATTCGTGCTGGACAATAACTGTGAAGGGGTTTGGTGCAAAATATGCTGCTCAACAACATTATCAACTAAAATAAATTTAAAAAAAATTTAAAAAAAACTTATTTTTTGCGCTCTAATAACATGCAGCTGTTGTCTCTTCACCTCCCAGATACCTAGAATATGCAACCGAAAGGAGAAGTGATGAAACGGCACGGTCACCCAGTCTTTGAGAAAATAAACGTGCCCTTCACTTCTCAGAAACATGTTTACATTAAAAACAGCTAGATGTGTTGGTGATAGATGCTGCTGTCCTTCCCAGCAGTTTTCCCACATCAGCCTCTGTTTGCAAAAGATGAAGCAGTGACACATAATTGAGTCACTGGTAAATATCATACTTTCAAAATCTGAGAGAGAAAAAAAATGGTTTGTAGACTTTTAAGGTGATGTTGTAATAGAGAGCAGAGTTTTTCCTGGCTGTGTTAAGCAGGGCTTAAAGAGCTCCGGCCGGGGGGCAGGATTTCCGGCTTTTGACCAAACGGCCCGCCTCAACCAAACTGTAGATAATAGACAAAGATGTCTGCCAATCAGAACTCT